GGGCACAGGTCCCGGAGCCAGAGCGTCGTTCTACTGGGATACGCCTGCGCCTCCAGAGCCCAAGACAGTAAGAGGACATCTACGCACGAAGACTACCATTCCTACACCACGAGTAGTCGAAGTTGTACCAGCTCGACAAAGCATGCCTCCCGTGTCCACTGACGCCCCAGCTGCGTTCAACTGGAGTTCTCCGACTACCACAGTGGACCCTTGGAAGCAGGACAGTCCCGGTTTACCGCCTATAATCCTGCCTGTCGCGCCTAAGCATAATGCTGTCGAAATTACACAAGCGAATGAGCTTCGTGCAGTTTCAATTGACCTGACACGCGATGTTGGGGAAACACATGGGCAAACGCCGAGTGAAACGCCGGTTGTCGCAACGAAAGCAATCCCACCTCCTGAGCCAACCACGACCTCTTCAAGTCCTTGGGGAGACATTACTGCTCTCGACACCAACACTTCCAATCAGGAACAACGTACGGATGTGCCTGCAGAAGATGACGATGATTGGGGTGAGATGATATCAAGCCCTACAGCATCCACTTTCTCCTCGGCCTTTTCGAACTCCATACCAGCGACGCTCGACAGCACCGTGTCAAATTCAGCATCACCACCAAAGACTCCACCGACCCAGGACCGCTCAGCCGAAGCGATGCATATCGTGCGTCTGCGAAGTACCATATCGCCAACATCAGCGATCTTTGGTCCGAAAAGTTTTGTTCCATTCCACGCTGAACAAGGACCTATTGGACCTGGGCTGTTGAAACCCGCCAAGCGCTCTGTTTCTGCCACGTCGGAGAAGAGCAAAGTCGAAGTTCCATCAAGACCGATTTCAGAAGTCATTCCACAAGATGAAGTCAAAGCTGATGCATTGCCGGCGCGCGATGCGCATGATATCAACAAAATTGTTATCAACGAAGTGAAGGTTGAAGAGACTGGTACGAACGGCACGGAAGATAACGACTTTTCCGCCTTTACGTCCAATACACATGAGCCAGAACCTGCCAGGCCTAGCACCCCGCCTTCAGCACCCATAGCACGAGATGAACCCACCATAGATGCTTGGGCGGACGCCGATTTCTCTTTCTTCGAATCCGCTCCTGCTACGAAAGCGTCTGCGCCAGCCACGCGCGATCCATCAGATCCCTTTTCCGTCTTCGAAACTCCTCCGAGACCGAGCAGTGCTGCATCTTCGGCAAAGACGTTTACGCGGTCACCTCCACGGACTGTAACTCCTCCGCCTATTCAGCCGCTCACTGGGGCTACGAATTCTGCGCAACGACGGAAGAACGATGAAGAACAGGTTATCAAGAGTATTCTGGCTGGGCTACCAGACTTGAGTCATATGTTGCGTAGATGATGTATCGTTGTTTAGATGGTTGTATAAATGCTGTTTCTTGCATTTCACATGGCGTTCTCGGGTGCTTGGATATCCATGGTCGTTTTTAGCATTGTTGGCATAGGTCACGGGATCTCGTGGCAAGAGCGTTCCTTCGTACATGTCCAATCTTCATGTTATTACTATCACTTAGAGGTGCATAGATACATGATATCGTCTCGGTTGTCCTTACTTTCACATCATCTCTTCATTGCTTTTCACACTCTAGTTCACCCTCTCTTCGCGCACTTCACTCTAGTCATGCATCGCCGTTCTCATGGTCGCCATCGCCGAACAGCCACTCCCCTCAGCCCTCGATCGTGGAGGGCCGCTTTCAATCGGTACACACTTCTTCGATTTAATCCTTCCCACCGAGGCCTCTTCGACCTAAACCACGCCCTCCCTCAACTGGAGCACTGTTTAGACACGCAACGTCAACCACTCCCACCCTCGTCTTTACTCGACAACGCTCTTACCAAAAGACAGCAAAACACAATGGGACAACATTACCACGTTCGTCATAGGAGTACCGGCGATCGCTATACAGTCACCGTCCCTGCCGACATCTCCCCCGCCTCCGTGCGGTCGACGTATGAAGCTGAACACCGGAGAAGTCGTGAAACAAGCTACAACACTGATGACTTTCGATCCCCAAATCGACCCATGCTGCGAGATGGTTTGATACCCATCGATGGCTCAGGCTACGCCCCCATTCCGATTCATCCTGGAATGCTATACTCTCCACGCAATCGACACGGTCCCTTCGCGCCTCTGCCCCCGTTCCACCAACCAGTCTCCTCTCCACCTCCCCGACACGTTTCCTTCGCCCCCGACCCTCGAAGAGACCCTCCCCCCAGCTACCCATCTCATCCTCCTCACTTTACCCACGGACGACACGGACAAGGCCACTCCCGCAGCAGGAGTGCTCCCGTGAATCCTTTCGAGGGCTCACACCACAGTGAGAATGTTTCGAACAGGCTCGCCCAACTTCCTCAGTATGCTCAACAACACCCTCGGTTCGATGAGGCGAGACATGCTATGCAGATGATATGGAGGTATCCTAGAGATGATCCTAGGGCGGTGCCGTGGCAGGTGGTGTTGAGGGAGATTACGGAGGATATGGAAAGAGTGGGGTTGGATGGTTTGGTGGGGAGAGAGGGGGGAGAGGAGGTAAGGGGGTTTAGGGGGCGGTAGGCGTGCGGTGTGAGGGGGATGTGGGGAGGTTGCGGAGTTGGGAGGAGGTTGGGAGATGCCTTGTCTTGCTTGCTATTTGCTTTTCGCGCTCATGGAGGTGGCACCTTTCCATCATATCATCGCAAACCGTTTGTTGATTTACCGCCTCAGCTATGTATAAGAGCTGCTCTCGGATCCTGACCTCTCATCTTCGAAACGAAACACCAATCATCAACACGACAATGAGTTCAGCGGCTCGATTCAACGATCCCCCGCCCTATGTACCACCGAAAGTCCCAAACCATGTCATACTCGCAGTCGTCCCAATACAGTTCGTGGTGGCTTGTGATACCATTCTTAGAGCCGCGAAAGAAGCTATTTTGAACAACACGACTAAAGACCACTTCGAAAAGAATCCAAGCGAATGTACGCTTTATGATTCTTACTCCGTAACTCAACAGATCCTCCAAAACGAATACACTTGGCCCCTGGTCGTTGATCGAGATGCACCCCTGGCCACGAACATACACAAGATAGAGGCGGAGGCGCGCCTGTGGCTAGACAACTCCCCGCTCTTCATCCAGCATCGCAGCGATCTGGAGCTTTACCTTAAAGCCCCGATCACCTTCAAACCGAGACGCTATATCGTGGATAATGGTGGTCTTTTACAAATGAGGGAAGAGAGGATTGCGCTTCGACAGCAGTTCCCTAAGCTTTACCTGGACTGCTCACTTTCGGTCGAGGACTTGTGTTCTGAAGAACATAGGAAAGCGTATCGAGAGTATTTGACTATGCTGGCTTGGGTCGAGAAGGCGCCGCGAGAGCGCATGTATATTGATGCACCGCATTTGGACGTCCCTTCTCCACCTGATCCCTTCGAGTATAATCCACCGGGATACAGATGGTGAAGCTTTCAAAGGGATTGGTTCTAGTCGATCAAAGGAGATCTTAGCTTGATCGAGAGTAATGTCAATGTCACGATGCTCAACACTCTTGCCCAAATCATGTGTCATCACATTTCGTCTATTCCTTTCTGTCGCTATTGAGAATCAGTGTCATAAAAACTCTTCAGTGGTGTGCGATTTAAATTTCCGCCTAGTCAGTGGACTAATGAAACTGCTCATCTTCTCGTTAGCCTTCACTGACTATCAGTTCAGGACCGTGCGGGGTTCAACGTTCGTATGCTCTAGCGGCACTCACGTAAGTCGGTGTACATATATAAACTACAAGATCCTGATACTTTCTTTCTACTCCATCACGCTCGCGCAACAATGGCCTCACTCAATTACACACCATCGGTCCCCACCATGGCCGCTTCCGCAGAGAAGATGGTGAAGTTCGCCCTCTTCCCCATCGAGACTCTTACCGCCTGCATTTACATCCTCGCTAAAGTCTATACCATCATCTCCAACAGCACATCTTCAATTGGCATTTCCTCGATCTCAGATGTTAGCGAGATGTTAGCGCATTACATCAAAGCGAAAGAGCTAGTGGACTCCAAAGACACCGTCTGGCCGCTCATTGTCAAAGAGCAATCGCACATTTACAACAACATCACCGGGATTATAAAGACTGCAATCGAGTGCCTTGTGGGCTCCTTCTTCGGATCGTTCGTGGAGGAATGCGAGAGGCTCACGATATACCTGAAACCTCAGCGAAGCTTTTTCGCCAGCGGATTGGCCACACATCGAGATGGTACCGTCCTGAAAAGGGATCTCATCGTTTTGGAGCAGCGCAGGGTTATGGACGCCTACAAGAATGACCCCAATCGACCGGAGTGCTTCTGGCTTCCAGATCACCACAAGCAGGAAGATTTTGAGGATTTTTTGATGACATTGGCCTGGATGAAAGAGGAGCCACTCCGGCGTATGTTTACTGAGGAGTTCAAGGGAGACTACTTGGAACATGTACCAGAAGTCCAGGACGGTACAGCCTCCGACCACGTCAGTCTGACCGGTAAGGAGACGTTCTTTTCAGCATTCAAGCTTATATCTAATACCGTGCTAGACACCGAGTCCGTTGTCGACACGTTCACTCCGTCGACCACTCGTACCGCTTCGCCAGCTCCCACCGAGCACCTATAGGACAACTGGTGGAACAAGAAGTAGTTATGGATCAATACATACTTAGGTACCTAGGTATCTGATGGTTGTAGTGAACTATATCATGGGAGGGCACTGCCAACACTAAGATGCTCATATCTCGATCTATTGCTTTCCTATTGCTTTAAGCCTATACGTGATCTCTTCCGGCTGCTGGCTTCTTCATTAGTGTTCACTGCCAAGCAAAGTCATCTAAGACCGTGCGGCTCGCGACAGTCATTTGTTTGCTCTAGTGGGGCACTAGTTTGAGTGCACAAAACACTACGGCTTCCTTAGCTCAGGACTTTGTACGTTCACATTTCCTTCGATAATCGATTCTAACTTTGATCTCGCCCTTACCCGCCACCATGGACGCGACTTCCCCAGAGATGATCGACTTTGTCATCGTTCCAATCGAGACTATGGCGGCTTGCATCTGCGTTCTCTGGCAAGTCGATCAAGCTATCAGACACTCCATGCAGTTCCCTGGAAATACTGAAGGAACTTCAACACTTCGCAGTACCGGCTACAAGTTGATCGCGAATAATGCGTCGTGGCCGCTAGTTGTGAAAAAAGATTCGGTATGCCACACTACTATCAATGAAATCCACGAAGCCGCCGCAGGATGGCTACGGCGCTCGCCCTTGTTCGAGGACACACGAAACGAGCTTGCGCAGTACCTGGGGTTGCCAGCCGGATTCTCCGCGAGCACTTTCCGGATTATGGACAACGGTGCTATCTTCAACAGATCAGCCGTTCTTCTCCAGCAGTCTACCAGGGACTACTATCTCACTAGCACCAACCTGTCCAACTTTCTGTCCAACTTTCTGTCCAACGCCGAGGTCAACAAGCAAAAATACCGCGCCTTCTTGACTCAGCTGATGTGGATGCGGGATGACCCTTTGGTGCGAATGTTCAAGTCGGACTTCAAGGGAGATTTCCAAGACCACTCAAAAGTTACCAATACTGGAGGACTGTCGCACCAGCTCGAGAGCCTGAGCGTTACCGGTATGTGTATCAACCACCTCGCCCTATCCCAAAGCTAATTAGGACTAGATGACGCGTCCACGGTCGCCATGGATACACCCTCAACTACTCGAGCCAATTCACCAGCCCCCATCGAGCGCCAAGGAAACCCCGCTTCTAATCGCACCATCAAGAGCAAGCCCGCCGAGCCGCCGACTCTCAAGTACATTGCTGTCATCGAGACTGCCACCGAAAAAGCCATCTTCAATCTCGACACCAACAAAGTGGACGAGAAGCAGCACAAGATTCTGGTCAACGCGAAGGACATGTGTAATGAGATGGCTTCGAAGGGCTATGATGGCAAGACGAAGCTACAGGATGTTATGGACTTGACTGTGCAGATGGCTACAAAGTGGGAGGAAGTGCGTGGAAAGCAGGCGATACAGGAGAAGAAAGTTTACGGAGGATTTGGTTATTATTGAAGCAAAGAAGGGCTTGCTTGGACTGGAGAACTAAATCTCACGAAGACTGTGGAACTCTGAACTTAGTAGGTAGTCAATCAATTAGGTTAGATCACCGAATACAACCGTCATCTCACGACCTTCCACTTAGTCACCCATGAAACAACAAGGACTCAACGGAATTCAGTGTTCATTTAGCAAGTTCTCGGGCCCAAATCCCTATTTAGAACGTGCCTAGCTCATGAGCTAAATCAGCGCGTCGTGTCCTGCAGCTTTCAGGCGCTCAAGTCCATCGAATCCCCAGCAGCAGCCTTCTTGGACCCAAAGCGCGCATCCAGCTTCCTGATCGTGCTCTGCCTCATCTCCTTCGAAGGCCACCCCTCACTCGGTACCCTGACCTTTTTGTCTCCTCTTAACTGCACCGGCACCGGAATATTCTCCCCAGTCTTACTATCCCCATATCCATACATGACGAAGTCAAGATAGTACTGCTGCACATCCAGCCCCCTCCTAATACTCTCAGCGATGACCAGATCCAAAGCATGTGGCATCCTCTTGCCATCTTCGTTCCAGCCTTCCAGACTCAGTAGACCCCACTGGTCTTCCAATACGCTATGGTCTTCTACGTCTTCGAGCCAGGGATGCGCCTCGAAGTCAAGATCATCCATGAGGTATGTCGCGACGACCATCGCACTGGTTGTGTCGTAGTTGAACTTCATCTTGCCACTGAGCGCCTCCCAAAGCGGAGTCAAGCTCTTCTGGGCGAGCAACATGGGGCCTAGCTGACACACGCCGTTGCCCAGGATGGGGTCGGAGAAGCGCATGTCGAGCTTCATGAAGAAGAGCTGGATGTTAATGAGATCGGCATCGGTCCAGATATCGACATCCTCGAGGAAATAGCGACGCGTTCTCGATTCCTTGAGCTCCATGACGCACCAGTACTTCATCAGCGCGCCCTCGCAGGCCTCTGGTACGCGGTGACCTTCCAGAGCCATGTACGTAAGGATGCTTCGTACGACCTTCTGGCGATAGACTATCATGCCGACCCAGCGGAAGCCTGGTACGTCGCGCGCTAACCACTCGCGGCCGTCCATGGGTCGGAGCATGGGGTCTGAGATACATGTACGGGGGTACAGTACCCAGCTGAAGATGTGGCCGGCGAGCGGCGCATGGTAGCGGGCGTAGTCGTGTATCAGAGAGACGCTGTATAGATTCAGGCGGTAGTGGAATTCCTTGTCGATGGCGTAGAGGTCGACGATGGAGGGGTAGGGTAGGCGAAGCGCGAATTGGAAGAAGAGGTTCGGGTGGCGGATGATGGCCTTGTAGACACTGAAAAGCTGCTTCGGGGCAGGTCCACCTGTGGAGGTTTGGGGTATGGGCGTGGAGGGTATGTCTGGGCCCCAGATCTCAGCGGCAATATTGTGACGGCGGTGTTGGCGGCGGCGGACGACGGTAGGCGCATTACTCTCGGTTGTGGAGGAAGCCTGAAGCTTGGCAGTAGTTGGAGAACCATCTTCGACTGCTCGTTTGTTTTTCCCTTTCGCGTTCGCGTTGAGATAGAGCGGGCTTGGTGGAGGCTCCATGATTGTCGTAAAGCTTGACCTCGTGACCTAGTATCACCTAGGTGAGACCAAGGTGCGCTCAAGTAAATATGCGAAAATCAGTTCGAAGATGTACTTTCATCCAGTTCAGGGTGACCGCGTGCGTAGTTTAGGGTTTTCGCGCACAATAGTTGCTGTCAAGACGGTGGAGAGGCAAACAATAAGGCTGTCAGGTCGTCGTGCCAACAAAACAGCGGGACGCCCAGGCAACTCACTACACAGCAGATTCAGAGCACCTGAGATGAGAGTAGGACTAGGCGACTGCCCGGAGTTTTCCGGAGACTACATTAAAACATGCGATACTCGTTGCAGACGCGTGGATCAAAGATCCGTGAACGAAGATGATAGCTCGCCTCGGCTCCAGCATCCGCATGAATCCCAAGCCTACTGAATGAACATGAGATATACGAAATAGAAAGGAGCAGAGCTGTATACTATTCCGTGGCAGTGAAACCCGACATATGCACTCATCATTGCTGTAGGCACGCGATGCTCTAGGCTCTTCCTCTCAGACGCGCTTCTCACATAACTTACGGCGTGTTCACACGTTCGCCTTCTAGCCAAACGCGCGAAATTGCTTCGACAGGGTCGGTGGTGGCCATCTGGGGGTGTTGAAGGTGTATGTGAAGGCGTGGATGGGTGAGTGGACGACGCGTCAACGTCATTGGCCCGTGCGCTGCAAACCCCGCCTCGGCCCCTCGTCGTCGTCCCTGCATAATCTGATAATTTAGTTCGCCGTGGGAAAATCGCGTTCCTCACGCATCACAACAAATTCTCCGATTAACGACTTCGTATCACAGTCGCCAAACACGGCGTCCTTCCATCGCCTGCAGTACGTGTTTGCTCTCGGCCCGAAATCAGCGCCTTCCGCCACACGATTATTGACTTAAGATATCTAGGACAACTTAGGCATCAATATTCTGATCATTGAATCAGCTTGAGTAGTGCAACCATCGACCATTGCCATAAACGCATCTCTTTCCGATATACGAAAACCTCCGCGATCGCGTACCACGCGCATCATGACGTCCAATCTTCTGGCCACGGCGACGTCGACGCTCCCCAACGAACTCGCTCTCGTCGTAATCGATCATCTCCAAGGCAACAACAAGGCACTATGCGCTCTCGCTCGGACATGTCGCGATATGCAAAACCTCGCAGAAGAGCGACTCTACAACCGAATCGAGCTTCTATCCGTAAAGAACCTCCACGCCATCATCGAAGCCTTCACATCGCGTCCTGAACGCGTCCGCGCCGTACAAACCCTCAAGATCTTGTATTCATACAAAGACGACAGTTTAAAAGACAGCGCCGAGATAAGGACGACTTTCAACGAGTGCGTAGCTCGCATGGTCAACCTGAGGGAGTGGCATATTGAGAGCCCGTACGATAACTTTCATTGGGAGAACGATGGTGGACAGGCTTGGGTCAACGGCGATATGCAACGCTTCCGCCGTGCGCTCGACACAGCTTGCGTGGATGGCCCGATAGAGACGGACAAGATCGCGGCTGAGCGGCGCTTGGGAAAGAATCTCGAGCGGACAGTTGGGCTGGGTCTTCTTGAGAACTTGACCATCCACTCGCACGGTACTGCTACCGACTTCTGGAACCTTGAGGGGTTCCATTGCCTCTTCCGTCACCCTGCACTCAAACACCTTCACGTCTCCTGTGTGGCCTTCCCAGACTCCGAGATCCCTGAGCTCGCGACACACACGAAGAGGACTCCTCTGATCTCGCTTGTTTTTGACGAGTGCGAACTGCGGCCCAAAAGTCTGCTCAGCATCCTTCGAACTCCGGCGCGTCTGAAGTCGTTGACTATGGGCGAGAATGTCTTCAATATTAACCGGTCAAGGCGGGCTAAGCCTTTACTGAACAAAGACGCAGGCGGATCACTGGAGGCTCTCTCTGCAGTCGCGCATTCGCTGGGAAGCCTTACACATCTAAATCCTGGCTGGAGGCTCGACAAGAGCCCTCAGGTGCTCCGCAGCATACGCCCACCTGGTGATGGTATGCGCGATTTCCACCTTCTGAAGTACCTTGAATGCGACACGAACTCCTTCCTACATCAGGCTATCATCATGAACCGTGATCTGGCGCCCCCTAGCCTGGAAACACTTCGTATCCGTCGGCATTGGGATGTTCCGGTCGACTTCTGGGATCAGCCGCCTGACTTCGACCACTACGCCGCTCTGCCATCTCTGGACACACTCGAATTGTTGCAATCATCCTACATGTGGTAAGTTCTGACAACAAAGATGACGTTGCTTTTAGAATCATACGCTGACTTCGCCCCGTGTGGCTCATAGGCTCGACACGGCAAAGTCTGAGTATATCTGCGATGAGGAACGTCTCCGCAATCGCCACGCAAAGGCGTTCAAGCTGCACAAGGCTGGCATCAACCTGAAGATGTCGTTGGAACTACACAAAAGCGAAGGCTTGATACCACCGTACCTGCACAAAGAGCGCGTTCCTATTATCGAATGCCTGTACGATGCGAGCATGGATGGATTCAGAAGTTTCATCAGGAAAGAAGTTACCAACGAGTACCAAGAGACAGTTGAATCGCTTGCGAGAGAAGAAGCTGAAACGGACCAACTAAGCGAAGTGGATATCAGCCTCTTAAAGTCAAAGACACGACGTCTTACGCTTTCCATGAAGCACAGCCTCGTGAACCGCGGCGGCCGACTCCCATCGTTCAGGGAAATATTCGGCTCAGATGACGGAAGCGAAGAATCAGCTGATAGCGATGAGGATTTCGAGGTCGATGATCTTGACGAGGATGACGATATGGCGCTCGATCTTGAGCTCGACGATGATGTCGTTCAGCAGTATATCGATGAAGACGGCAATCCTGTATTTGACGAGGACGGCAACCCTGTGTTCGAAGACGACGGAGAGCTTTTTACAACTGTGTGGGAGGTGGCTACTGAGGACGAGTATGATAGCGATATGGATGAGGATACGGAGGAGGATGACGACGATGACGAGATGCACGATGCGTTGGAAACCCAGCAACAGCCCGCCAACACCAGCACCAACAACGACGACGTTGACTAAGCAGTCGGGAGAGTGATAGCTGTTCATGATCGACTTCGGTAGTCTGTGAGCAACTACAATAGTGGATTCTTGTGTACTATTGGCTTTAGAAAATAGTTTTAATGATGCATGTATTATCAAACGTCTTATCCTGATCACTAACAGTAGCTGTTATTTGCTCATGCTACACACGCAACATTGGATCTCGGTCTGTATGAAACCTCCTAACAATAGACGAACGCCGGGTATGTAGAAAAGCATCGCGAAGAGAATTGCAGCTGACACACCGCTAAAGAAGAAGTCTGCGATAAACGTCAGCCATGACTTCATACTCCCCATCGCCCATCAACTTACCTCCACCAAACCCATCATCGCGCACACCCA